AAAATAGTATAATAACATTAATAAGAAAATGAATAACTAAACAGCATAATATCTATTATTTATTATAATAATAAATATGAATAACTTGTTTGTGTACGTTTGTTTATATTGTGTTTGTGGCCAACACACGATACAAAAAATTAATACTAAGTAGGTATAGCTCTCCACTAAGGCTGCCCCTATTTACGTCCATAATACTACTATAATGTAGTATTTAAAAAAATAAATAAAACTAGGTACTTAACAAGAGATTAACGATCTAAGTCTTCCTGTTTAGAGCTATTCTATTTCTAGTTCAAATCAGTCAGAGTTAAAAGTGCCTAGGTATCTACTCAAGAGAATAAAAATTATTGCAATGGCATTATTGATTAGGGTATAGGTAATTGGGATAGGAGAGGTGGACCACATCATCCAGAACCAGCAGTAGTTTATATAAATACAATTTACCGGCCGAAAAATTATGTAGTAGTCACAATTATATTTTAATATTTACTGTTACTGTTTCACAAAAATATTCAAAATATAGGTAGTACATAAATATACATTTGAAATTATTGTTATAATAGATATGCAGACATACAGTGTTAAGGGGAAATTATACAGGAAATCTTTATAATTTGTGCCCCAATAAAAATATTGGTCTAGTTGGGCCTTTGCGGATATCTATTTCTGTACTTGTAAATCACTTTTCGACGATATGTATGTTTTGACAGTTGTACAATAATATAATTATAGGCATAACCGCACAATAGGTGGTACGACCTTTACCGAGTGGAAAATTTAATACATTTACGTAGCACGTAAGTAAATAACATAATTATATGAATAAAGGGTCTACGTGATGTGTCAATAATAATATTGTGAATAAATGTAATCATTAAATCATTCATGATTCATTGATTATAGTAGTTTATAGGTACTTGTATAGGTACTCATTGGTTAGGTACCTATTGGTATATTATATAGTTTTTGATAAAAATTGAGAATATAATATGATTATACAGATCGGTATACGGTAGGTAGGTACTTGAAAATATATTATTTTCCGTATATTTTCACATAAGGTCGCCCGCAGACAAGTGCGCAGATGCCGGAAAGTAAAAGACGTGACTATATATTATGAATATATGATAATATATGCTCCAAATGTTCGGGAAATCGTTCGTCTTACACATTTAGTAAATAGTTCAAATTACTTTTTAACGGTTTTGCTAACTTGTCCCAAGATATATTTCCAAAATACTGTGTAAAGGCCGTTTCCATATTTGAAGTTAAAAGCTATTCAAATTTAAAATATCCATTACCTACATGAATTAATTTAAACAGGTAATTTAATACACCTAATTAGATGGTCGTAGTCGTATTGATATAACTATTTAAAAGACAAGCGTCCAAACGGATAATATGACATGGAACAGCTGACTTATTTGGTGTAGGTACCGACGTACTGTTCAGACGGGCATATTATATTTGACGCGAAGTATAAAAATATCGTCAATACTCAATAGATCGATTACATAATATGTATAGTACCGACGTCCACGTCCTACATATATATATTATATATTATGTAGAATGGAATGTATGATAAAAATATATAATATGAATTTAAGTGTACAACTGACATTAGCCATCGCCCGGAGGCATATTTTTTTGACAGCGAGACACGAAACTAATCAATAATCATACAAGCATACCGCATATTTTGTAATTTTTTTATTGGTTGATAATTAATAAAGAAATGCCATACTTAATCTATAACTGTATTTTTATGATGAAAAAAAGTTAAGTTTTGTCATTATTTTGTTATATTTTGTATATAAGTTTAGTGAATTTGTTGAAATGCAGAAAATGAATGTTCAATATAAATATATAATACAAAAGAGAGTTGAATGCCGAATGGTTCTTACCTAAGTCACATATGTGACCAACAAATTTGAGAATAATGTAACCAAACACTAAAACTAAGAATAAATATTAAAATATATGATTTACCAAATTATAGTTTTTTTTAATTATAATAATATGCTATATTGCTATATATTTTCATAACTATAAATTTACGGCTATAATTAACATCTGTATGGTACATACGTACTATAGATCCCTAGAATCATAATAATATATCAGTCTAAATCAGGGGTGTCCAACCCGCGGCCCGCAATATATTTTGATGCGGCCCTCACTTCAATTTTAAAACCATGAATTAATTATACATAATATATTAATATTACGAGAACAAATTTATTTTAAAAATATAAACCAACCATCAAATAACGCTAATGAGTTAAACGTACGTCTTCAAGGTAAAAATCAACTCATTAGTAATACCTATGTTTCAAATAATAACTGCCTTTGAACTGAAACTTAAATTATGGCAAAGTCAAGTTAAGGTTTTGATGTATTTCCCTGTGCTGGCCGAATACAATCCCAAGAATAACCAGGAATATGCTTCTTTGATTTTAGTTTTAATTAATGAATTTGAAACCCGTTTTCAAGATTTTCGTAAGAATAGTCAACTCTTAGCTATTTTCGCAACACCATTTTCGGTTGATATTACTGCTGTGGAAACTAAATTTCAAGTGGAATGCATTGAGTTGCAATCATCTGATATTCAACTCAAAGAAAAATTCAATCAGTCATCTTTATTAGATTTTTATAAATTATATCTACCCAAAGAAACATATCCAGTCCTTCATGACCATGTCTTATTCATGTTCTCGCTTTTCGGCAGTACTTACATTTGCGAACAATTGTTTTCAAGAATGAAAAACATAAAGAGTAAGAATCGGTTCACTATATCAGACAAGCACCTTGAAAGTTGTTTAAGGATTTCCACAACTTCAATCGATCCAGATATTGATTCATTACTTTCACAAAAAAGGAAATTTCAAATTTCACATTAAAAGAAAACTAATGACTTTTAACTTTTTTAAACTAAAACTTTTTTTATTATAAATAAATATATATTTTTCTGTGTACTTATAATTGAATTATTAAATATTAATAATTGTAAAAATATTTCTGCTTATTATTCGCTATTGTAAAATTATAAAAAAATGTATTGTTATATTATAGATTATAATTTAATCATTAAATTTGAATGTATTATTATTAAAAAAAAGTATGTGGCCCACAACAACTTCTACCTATATGATGTGGCCCAGTCTTCACAAAAGGTTGGACACCCCTGGTCTAAATATCTTAGTCCATGGAATTTAACATTATTTAAGGTGCTATTTTAAATAGAACTGTTGTACTTACTTATCAACCTATCATAAAATCTGAAAGGCTGGATATTGACGCAGCTGCATCAACTTTTTAAGGAGATGGTAGCTGTAGCGCCGAAGTCTATGTTAGTGGAGGTGTTGGTAAATACTTAAATATGAAATTGCGTCATTTAAAATTCTAAAAAAAATTTAATATCTATTAATAAAAATATAGGAATTTAAATTTTAGTTGTTATTATTCAATATTCATGATGTGTTTGTGATATTTATTTTATTTTATTTAATACATTTGCTGTACTTATAAGTTATAACATATGATCCGTTACTCCAGTTGAGAATCAATAATTAAAAGGTATAGAATACTCTTTTTCCCTCAACATGCAAATTCATTTTTTTATGAAGGTTTGTACAAAATGGACCTAGTGATTATAATAAATAAGTTACTGAACTACCTTACAGACATTTCAGTGTATGATACAAGATGTGGGATTTCCAAAGTTTTTTTCTCATTCTTTCCAATTACACACTAACACTTTATTATATTTACAATTAAACAGATTTTCTGATTATGTAATTAATTGTGGGGAATTATTCAATAATTAACATCAAAATAAAATATTTAGCTGTTCCTAATTGAAATTTTCCATACAGAATAATTATTATAAGGTGTCAGTGGCGGATTTTCCAATTTTCCAAAATTCTATAAAATTTGAAAATTATATTTTATAATTTAGTTAGGTACTATCTTAATTAAATACTTTTCCACTTTAACTACAGTTCGATTGATAAGATGATTAAGATGTATTATATCAACGTAAATTACTTCACAGAAAAAACTCTAATGCCTGTAGAATAGAACATTTTTGAGGTTGGATCAAATACCGAATTTTCATTTTACTTTAAATAGAGGTAGAAAAATACGTTTGAAAAGACCAAATACTGTACATCATTTAAATGCATATTTTAACTTCTTCTTTAATCATAATTTTTTTTTTTATTTATAAATCAGATTTCGACACCCTTATATAGTATTACATGCAACTTATTTCAAATTATATACCCAATCGTCAACATTAAAATGTTGAAATACTTGGGACAAACTAATTGAACCAACAACTAAAACTCAAATTAAGACATTATTTTATTAATTTAATAATAATAATAATAATAATACAATGCATAATAATTTATATAGTTAACAATAAAATAAACATTTTATTAACAAGTTATTATTTAATATACATATATTATAGTAATGAATAATATTTTATGCATCTACGAGTAGTGCAGAAAAGAATAGACATAGATACAAAAAAAAGTTGAATGCATAATATTTATACGAAATTATTCGTAAGTGTGAACCAAAATGTTACATATTATTAGGAGTTCACAACCGGATTTTGATTTACAACCGAAATAAAAATAATAGAATGTGCAGTTTAAAAATTATCACAAACATCAACAATTATTACTACTATCAATAAAATTTTATTTTGAGAACTAATGTAAACAAAAACATTGATTCATAATACTGTGAGCTAATAATACAAGTTTTAAGTACAATACAATTGGTTAAGTCATAGTTACTGTACCGTGTTATTTTAAAAATTAAAATTAACACTTAAAACAATGATTTGTGTTATTTATAAATGTAAAATTTCAATTTTTTCTCAAATAATTGACAAATATAAAACACATATCACATTGAAACACATACAACTCAAACCTACAGCTATATTCATTTTAGCCAATGGCCATTAATACTTTATGTCATTGGTTTTCGGACCAAAGATCTAATGTTGATGTTCCAAATGTATCTGGTGGGGTAGGAAAATTATTCACTTCGGTTTGGTCTTGAATTGATACACCATTGGCAGTATATGATAACCGAATTCTCATTCTTAGCTGGCTCTAATAAAAAAATAAAATATTATATTAATATTTTCTTAGATTTATAGGCTTATATAATTTTTACAAAAAATATTGCATATTATACAAATTATAATTTTATGTTTCAAGTATATAAAGACTGGATTTAATTGCATTGAAAACACACAAATTGCATACTAAAATTGTATAATTGCACCAAAAAATACGTAAAATTTGCATAGTAAATTGTATTATAAAAATACAAGTTATATGAAAAAACTTTGAATTTTTTATTATAACTAAATTAATTTTCAAAAAAAAAATCAGATAAATGTTACTTTTTTAATTAAATACATTTCCAAATTAGATATGTTTATTAAAATTAAAACTTTTATCATTTAAAATATGTTTGGACAAAGAAAAACCTTGTTCTACGTCTACACTAGTTATTGGCGCATATTTAAAACAATTCAATAAGGTAGGCGTTATATCTAAATTAACATCTACTCTACGTCTTTACCTGACATAACTTCATAGTAAGATTTAATAGTTTAAAGCTATATACACAATCAAATCTATATAAATATTGGTAAAAAATTGATACCATATAAAAAACAGATAGAGCCTCACCACTACAATAGAATTTACATGAGGAATAGTGGCAGCCAAGTCACCCATAAAACCAACAAATATTGAACACGTTAAGTGCGTGTTAAGTCAGCAGTAATTTGTAAATCTCAAATAGTATGCTTTTGTCAGCGCCAGGGGACGGAAATGAATATGGTTTTATATTATTAACTTTTCCATGGCGCTACAATAACGCACCAAAAAAGCGCCGTGGCATAGCGCGAATCATTACAAGTTTTTTGATTCACCTATTAGACTGTTTTGTCTGTATACTTTAATAAATTTTAGTACAACTAGTCATAAACCCTACTAATAATGTTTATATTTTAAATTTGTAATACATAAATTTAATTTTTATAAATTATGAACTATAAAAAAATAAGGAAATATTTTCTTACTCTAAAATATCCATTTATATGAATAATTTAATTATAATCATATTATATTCTACAGGTTATGAAAATTAACATTTCTTACTCTCATTATTCATAATCCAATGGATAAAAGCTTAATACAACAGATAGATATATACCGACCACACCCCACTAGTAAGCCTGGTTTCCCTCTTCACATTGGAAGAATATATGATAATATGTAAATGAACAATAGTATAATATTGTGTTTTGGTGGGTAATTTAACAGTCAATGAAATGAGGCTAGCAACTAGTTTGGCTAGAATGTGTCTGCCGGACCAAAAAATGTATTGTTACTGACATACCTATTAATTTTGTCATGGATAAAAGTATGTTTTTATCATAAAATCCAGAATATAATTAGTTAATACTTATTACAATAAAAAAAAAAATTCATTCCCAAATTTTTTATAAATATTTGAACAATGTACAATCGATAAAAATTAAAAACAATTAAAACCTAAATTGTACAATTTTTTTTAAAAGATAATATTTGTTAACATTTTATTTAACAAAATATTCAAACTATCAAAGATAAAAGATCATAGACATATACAACAACTAGATCTTTATACTACAATTGTAACCAATGTTGGAGTCAGCCGACATTTATAAAGCAGGCAATGTTAACATTTATTCATATTCATATATATTTATGTATACATATACACTGTGGTATATTATTTTTTTAAACATTGCCTGCTTTGTAAATGGCGGCCGATTTCGATGATAAGAAGGCTATCTAGTTGTTGTATATATCTATGTAAGAGATTTAATATTTAAATTACAGTATAATAGGGAAACTTACTTTTGATACATTTGATACTCGCATTAATTGTGTCAAAGATGAACCCGGTTCAATTACATTTGATGATGGAGGTAACATTTGTAATTGGAAAGTCTAAGTAGAAAAGAAAAAATACATTTATAATTAATAACTAATATCTAAATACACAAATATTAATTTAAAAATCTGTAAGTTTGAAACAAAATAAATAGGCAAATGGATTTAAGTAGAAAATTGTACATAATTGTTTAAAAAAATAGATAAAATAAGGTAGATTATAATAATAATAATAAGATCTACATGTCAAAAATATTGACTTAACATAAAAGAAGTTTTATTTGAAAAACCTAAAAAATTAAAAATCAAAATGTATTACATTTTAAATCTTAGCCATTTTTATTACTCATAACTTGTTTTAAAATTAAAAATATATAAAAAAAACCCTGAGATTTACTAGACAATATTCTTACTTCTAAATTTTATAAGAGGTCAATTCACTCTAATTTTTAAACTAACAGTAAAACGTGATCTTCTGAGAGTACAATTTGCTATATTATGCCTTTATAAGATAGAGAGAAAGCATACAGGTTTAGCACCGTTTTAAATTTTAAATGTTGACCTCCAGAATCCTACAACTAGATTCACTTTCCCCTCAAACAAGATACTGAAGTTGAAAATTGAATCGATATTTTGACTACTTACCGTGTACAGACACAACAAATTAAAGACATACATCATTGTAAAATCAATACATTCATTGCTCAGAATCTAAAGAAGTCTATTGTTGAAAATGGTATCAAAATAGTGTGTTTTAGATGACCAAAACCTTTTAAAAATAATAACGCTTATGGTTGTCACTCATTAATAGGAATATGTTTATATATGAAAAATATGTATCTGTAACTAGATGCATCATAAAATGCCATTAGAAACTAGAAAGATACTAAATAGGTATGAAATACTGTACAAATATGTTAATGTTTTAAACTTTTGAATGGAATAGAGAAATATTACATTGCAATACACTGACATATTTTACTGTCCCTGTCACTTAAAACAATGTAGAACAAAAAATATAGAGTTTTGTTGTATTTTTATAAACATTATATTTTATTATTCTACTCTTTTGCATCTGTATATTTATACAGGTATGAGGTGTGATAGTCTCATGACTTCTGTGCAAATGTGTATGGAACATTTAATTAATCCAATAATAGCTTTACTTACATAATAATAAGATTAACACAGGAAAGCTGATGACCAAAGTCAAGAAATCCTATATATAACCAAAATGTTTAGCAACAAATTCAGAAATTAATTATATTGAATTATACACGACATCATCTAGTACGTAATTACCAGCTTGATAAAAATTAAACCGATTTATAGAGGGTATGGTTCAGACCAAACTCAACAAATATCATTTGCCCCTTGAGGTTACTCTTATATAAGACAGAGTAAAGATATCATTTATATAATATAATATATAATAACTCCAAATATCAACTTACTTTAGGGACAGCTGCTTGAAAAAGAAATTCATTGATGGTAAATGTACCACTATTGTAAGCAGTCATATTCACCGTGTTTGAATCTATGTTCATCTGATCCCTTTCAACTAATAATGTTATTAATAAATTGTTTTGGTCATACGCAGTCACAGTTCCTGGGCTTTTAACTTTGGTAGTACTAACAATTGGCGCTTCTGCTGAATACATAAATTAGAATATAGAACCAAAATCTTTACAAATTATATTTATTTTTTAACTAACCTAGACTCAATGTGTCAAATATATGATTTGTAGTATCAATTAATCCATTAGTTGAACTAATTTCAGATGGAAGATTGTTCAATGGTTGCATTGGTTGGTTATTTAAATCTAAACCACCTAAATAATGTTTTAAATTCAATCAATAAATTATTTATTTCAAGAAAATAAACTAAAGGAATATAAAAAATTACCTAAGAGATCCAACAAATCTTGAGTATCAGTAGTCATGGTTGGCATTATTGAAGGGTTTTGATTTGAAATCAATTCTGTATCCCCATTTGAACCCTCTAGTAATACTAACAATGCATTCTAAAATATAAAGTAGGAAACAAAGTTATTATTAATTTTTTTTAATAAACTAAAAAAATATATCTTTACAGAATCACTAGTAGTCTCAGTATTTGTCACATCAGTGACAAGTAAATCATTTGGTGATGGAATATTTTCAATAGTTTCATTCCATTGTGATTGTTGAGTTCTATTTGACTCCATAGCAGGCATTCTTTCTAATAGACCTTCCCGCATTGGGTCATATCTGTTGAACAGCTGATTGTATTCAATTCCACGTTGTTGCAAATCAGTATGCATATGTGTTGTAAATGATGCTACCATTTCATGGATTTTACTAGATAATTAAAATCAAATTATAATTTATTAGTACTTTAATAAATATAATATAATGGAAAATAATTATTTTGACTATTGACTATTGAGTATTGACAATTATGATAGTCATAGAGATATCAGAATATCGATATTGATACCTAAATTTCTTTTTTGATATCGCACAATTCAAAAAGATATCGATATTCAAAAATATATTGTTGAAGAAGCCTAGTTATTATACTTATTACTTACTCTACATTAACTTTGATACGGGTGCTTAATTTCATAAGTGAATTTAATGTATACTGTTTTGTGATAATATTATTTTGAGGACTCCACATTAATTTATGGTATACTCTTAATATGTCTTCTTCGTTGACCTAGAAAATATTAAAATAAATAATATATTAATTATTATCAATTAATATCTCCTATAAATTTAGTTGTTTCATTGTAAAAGACTTAATTATAGTGAATATTTCATACATTTAATTTATATAAAGATGACGATAATTACACCTAATAGGTTTTATTTTTATTCTTTAAAGGAGTTAAGTTTTTATGTAAAAATAAAAATCTTACAGTTACAGCATGTTCATCAGATTGTTGTAATAACATGTCCCCAAATTCTCCAATTGTCCATGTTGACACTTGTATCAATGGTTGCTTATCACTTGTGTCTTTTTCCAATTCTACCCATAGTTTTGAAGCCATATAACCGCCATGTTGAGCACCAGATTCAGAAACTAATTGTATTGTACTAGATACGACATCATCTCTTACGTAATTACCAGCCTGATAAAATATAAAAATTATAATTTAACCATTAAAAAATAATGCTTTAATAAAATGTGACCACCAAATAGGTTGGTGCCATTGCTATTAGTGGGATACAGCCATTGTGATAACGGCTCAGAATCTATTAATTTTTATTTCATATACACTTACTGCAACAAGAACTTTTATTAAAGTATCTAAATGCCATCGAGTATTGGGTGCAAATTTTTCAGCTGCTAACACAATGCTAGAAGAGCACTGAGCTTTGAATTCAGGTTCAGATGTTTCCAAAAATGCAAGTAACTCTTTAGTCATAGTCAATACATTATGAGAATTAATTAAAGCTATGCTTAACTCTAGAGCTCGTCTTCTTATAGATACGTCTGGGTCTTGCTATAAAAAAAAAATTAATAATTAGACACTATTTGTGTATTTAATTTAAATTATGTTATAATATTCAACATACCCTAAGACACTCAATTATAGTAGTTCTGTGTCTTTGAACTGCAGTCATGTCTAAATGAATAGTTTTTAGAAGTGTGTTCAAAGCAACATATCTGATATTTTTATCTGTGTTCAACAAAAATCTACCCAAAATATTAATGGCTAGCACCCTGAGCCCGGATTCAGACTTAATATCCATAATTGATAACACAGTCTCATATAAAATTGTGTTACCAACATTTTTATTTGTTTCAGTTGTTGTGGCTACTTGTGCAAGGACATCATTCATAGTTTCAGAAGCCTCTGGATCTTTTTTACCAAGTATTTTAAGCAATCTCAGTATTTTTACCTGCAAATAAAATAGTGATTTAAAAACTTAAATATTTATTGATTGCTAGGAAAAAAAATGTAATTTACTTACTTGTAAGAAAGGATCACTCACTCCAGAAACATCATGTTCAGGTGAATACCCAGCGAGTATTAGGTTTTTTAAGATTCTTACTAAGTTTGGCACAACCTATGAAATATTAATTTGTTATGACTAATAGGTTATAATAAAATAAACATTATATGTATTTAATAATTTAAAAACACCTAGACAGGCAGCAATTTAAATATTTTCAAATAAGACAGTCAATCAAAAAAAATATTATTATTCATTTAAAACAATCAAAACACTATTAAAATACCTTTTTAAAGTGCTGTAAGGTATCAATACTTCGTTCACACATTTCAGTTATTAATGTTACACCGGTTATAAGTACGCCATGATTTTTTTCTGAAAGCATTGATCTAGTGGCTGGCAAAAATATTTCCATTAGTTCAGGGACTTTGAGCACAATTCTATATGCACACAAAGCCGCTTTTTTTCGAATATATGTATTAGGTGATTTCATTAAGCGTTCTACTTCGGTGGCAAGATCCCTAGCCATTTCTGGTGATGCAATAGCACCAAGGGTACATAATGCCAAACCCACAACAAACTGAGTGCAACTATTTAGGTCACTAAAATTAATAATATCACATTTATAAGTATTATCTATATATTCACATGAATTATTTATGCAATGCTTGGCTAAAAGAGAATAAGTCAATTTTGGTAAATTTAGAATTACCTATGATGAAAAAAAATGTTCTATGAGATAATAGATAATAAGTAATTTTTGACATATTTTCTTTTACCTGCAAAACATAAAATACATTTTTTGTTAAATTACTTTTTTAAGCAGTTTGTGATAAGGAGATGCACATCTTGTCGTTCATCCAATAACAACATAGCACCCAAGTAACCTATTCGTTTATCGGTAAATCTTGGTGAAGCTATTAGCTTTAGACATTCCAACTGTCCAAAATGTGCTGGATATCTATATTATTAACATTATACTTTTAAACTCTATTCATTAAAAACAGATAAAATATTTAGTTTTTAAAAAGAACATAAATTTGAAATCTAATATATCTATATTTCTATTAAATTTTTTTTTTCAATGGTACTGGTTATTAAAAATAATATAGCTGTTAATTTATTAGTTATGATAACCTTAACAAACAAGATTATTGAAAAAAACACTTACCCAAGCATATGAATATATAACAATTTAGCAATGTTTCGACATCTCCAGACATTATCTTCATCTCGAAAAGATGTTCTAATATCTGCACATTCTTTATTGATAACAGCTCTTTCTTCAGCTGCTGTTCTTGCTGCTCTAATTTGCCTTATTAAATCCCTGAGTCGCATGGGAGTTGGCATACGAACTAAACCAAAGGAAAGAATATAAAATAAAACTATCAACTACAACTATCAAAAACAAAAACAATGGTATCGCTCACCTTTTTCAACAGCTTCATTGAATACTTGTCTTATAGTTGCAATATTAAATGCTGGATTAAATCTGTAAGCACAAATTAATTAATGTCAATATCTGTAACGTAAGAGAAAAACACATACCCTGTATCTGAGGAGCTATTCATTTTGAAATGGACAAGTATGCTGTACACAATTTGTGTGGAACTAAGTGTCTGTGAACAATAAAAAAAATAAACCATTGATATAGTAATACATCATACTATAAAGATTTAAGATAACAATAGATTCACAGGTGTTTTAGTACCTACAACCAGGTATAAGTAAATAACATGAATTCTTTTTTAAATATTTGGGCTAGGGCAAGTACAGCAATGTAACTGTTTTGGCTGTCCAACGTTATTCACCAAGACAAAAAGACATACGACCGGCAACTAATAAACGCAGATTGCTCAGTCAGAGTGAAACTGAATCAAATATTTGCAAACTTACACAGTATTATACAGTGGTCAGTTGTCAGCAAGATGTAAACTCCCCCCTCCCCATCATATTAAAAAATGTGTGAACGTCGGATAATCCATCAGATAAAAGTACACCTTCATAAGTGTGTGCCCTCCCACCGGAAAATAAAAATATTCAAGACGACCACCCTCAAATCTAGGCCGCAAGCATCATCATCCATCATCGCCGTCTTCGTTGGGTCCTGAATCGTGATAACAAGTTGCCCATCTCGTGTACACGTAGATGTTGGCAGTTTTGGTGCCAAAAACAAGTCACAAGGGTAGGTGTGTGTACTACAAGTAATAACTCGCGCCCAACAATAAATAATGTAATATTATTATAATAAAATAATAAATTTTGTGATATTCACCTTTCGAAGACGACGACGGCGGTGATTTCCCGCGTCCTTTCGTCCTTTTCTACAGTGTGAAACTACGAATCTACGTCTACGATACGACGACGAACAACGCGTCGGCTGTGACGGCGGCCCTTATGGCCTTATCTATCGTCGTTTTTCTGCATTCGTGTCATACTGTCGTCATGAAAGCATTCAGCAACCGCGTATTATATTTTATTACCGTACACACACGCACAAATAGACAGCACACACACACACATGCGCATTATATCATTGAATAATTATGTCTCGACGTGTCCAGATATAATAGTATTAATATTATTACGTGACAGGCCGCTGCTACTGCGGTACCTATTACCTATTAAATGATAATACCTAGTACCTACGGCCGTCACCGTCGATTATAGTTATTGCGTCGACGGTGGCGTTTAATGGGATTTTAATTCAGAAAAATGTATCTAACAGGTGTGAACGTGGTACCTTTGTTTTTCTCACTGTCGTGCTTGCGTCCGCGGGCGTCGGGCCTACGTGGAAATTGCGGAACAGTTCGGGCGAACGACTGACCCCGCCCCCGCGTAGCGCCCGGGACGTTCAGAGTTGTGTTCACACTACTACTACTACTACTACTACTACTACTAAAACCAATGCAACTAATCCTTACCACAACTACTACTACTACTACTATTACTGCTACTACTGTCTAATACTATTATAATAGTTACACATACGTCATAGTGTCATACACAAATACAATATAATATACTTACCTACCTTTATAGTTAGCCGATAGGTAATAATATTAAAGTTTTTAGTTTGTTTTTATATTTATTTATCTATGATATTACCACACCTGCAGACAACAGACTACCAATGTCCAATAATATGACAAGCGTCTAGTGACAGGGAATCCGAATGGCTGCAAGATGGCCGACTTCGTTATCAGTATCAGTTATCACAGATTTTATTATCACTTAATTCTCAAAATAATATATTTCTTTCCTTTACCTTATTCCTATTATTAGAACTGAATTGTCTTTGAAAATGATGATATTCCAGTTAATTATTAATTAACATTGATTATTTGATAATAAATCTTAGGTTAAGAAAAAAATAATTACAATACATTTATAATACAAATAAAATAAAATAGGAGTGGTGACAAGGAAAAGAAACCGGCCTGAGGAACTCCTGAAGAAACATGGGCGTGATCCGAATTGCACACCATTAATCCTCATTCATCCGCAAACAGAAAAATCCATGTATCCTGAGAGTGACATTCATAGGCCTCCATAACATAATTAACGAAAACCATAAAAAAAAAAAACAAAATACAATTAAAACAATATTCCAGGTTAGTACATCAAGAAAACAATTAAACTCAAGTAGTTGTGTAAACTTTCAAAGTATTATACATTTAATTAAACAGACAAGTTTTTTAACAATTAGTAAAAATTCATAACCTAACACGATTATTTTCAGAAGTATTTGATGTACTGAGTTAATTTTACCTGTTCAATATTTAAAATAAAATAAAGTAATTAGATACTTTACTGTCACTATCTTCACTGTCACTAACTTAAAATACAATTCAGTTAGAATACAACTTGGGTATTGTTCTGTGGTATAACTATTGTTCTATGCTGTCACTAGACGCTTGTAATAATATGCACGAACAAATATTGAATACCGATGGATGGTAAAAATAATACCTACTGACGCAGACTAACGTCTAATCACGGAACAATGGTCTAACGTAATTCGTAAACGTAAATAATTAGGTAAAAACTTAAAAATGTACTCCCTATACTTACTACCGTTAAAATGGCTAAACTTGGTCACTAAATCCGAATGCGGAATGAATTGTTCTGTATAAATATATAATAGGTGCCTACCAAATACTAATACTAATAAGTACCTACATTAATTTATAAAAAAAAAAGTTTTATTCGATATTGATTCATTTATTTTTTTATTTTTTTTCATAGTATTAAGATTCTTTGGAAAAATTATTATTGCTTTTTTATGTTTATTGTTAACCAAGAATAATTGTTTTCAATATAACTATAGTTTTCGGAAAGTAACATTGTATTTGTATGATAGACTGCTAACCACAAGCAGAAAATATTGGAAAGGGCCTGAGGGGGACTAAGCCCCCTAATACGTATCAGCAGAAAAATGCCCCCCTCAAACATACTAAGTGGTCACTACTAAAAATAATAAATATAAAGTAATTTTCATTTAAAATATAGGTACCTACCTTAGTTGGTGGACAAATAAAAATAAGAACAATTCAAAAAAAACTTTGATTAATAAAGTTTACATCTACCTATTTTTCTTACCTCTTTAAACTTTAAAGTAATAATTAATAGTTCACGAATTCTAGTAATATAGGTACTAACCTAACAAACCAAAAATATTATGTGTATGATACAGGATGTCTAAAATAATTCACACTTATGTTTTGTATGGTGTAAGATGAGTTTTGAAAGTGCAGGGAGCGAGTGAGCGACTTTGATATGCAATTAAATGTTTTTAATTATCAGCCCCCTATAAAATTATGGAAAATTTCCCCTATGCAACTAACGTTATAAGTACCTATTTATTATTTAGTTATTACTTATCAAACTTAAATTATCATTGTATTAAAAATATAGTAAACTTCAATTTTATGTTTAAAAATGGTTTCATTTTAAGGGAAGTAACTGAACATTAAATGTAAAACATAAAATAGAAATTTTCTAACTGCGATTTAGTACAAAGTGTAATTAACGCTTTGGAAGAAGTGGTTCAAATGACAAATGACAAATGTAACCTGCAATGACCCAAAAAAAAAATTAAGCCCATCCTTTATTTATAAATTAACTAAAAGCTCTCTATAATAGTTCCTAAATTGTTAACATAGTAAAATAGCTAATAAAATAAAAATGTTTAACAACATTTATTGCAATCTAAATAATTACAAACAATTTAAATGTGGCTCAATCGTTCCATAGTGTACACTGTACCTATTAGGGAAAATCCAAATATTATTCAGAATGAAAATCGTGATAATTGTCAAAACGTATAGTTGGAATTAGAAACAGTAGATTTTGACTAAAAATGCAATTCTATACATTACGATTAATTTATTAATATTACTTTAAAGGGCCACTGCCCACTATCATCTATGAAGTATTCACTTAATAAAAAAAATAAAAAAGCTATGAATTGTGCTTTGTGTGTTAAATTTAGTGAACTGATATGAAATCATGGCGGAAGTTAATAATGTTGTTAGAAAAAGTTGAAATCTGAAATCTGTAATTTGTATTCATTAATTATTATCATAGGCGCAGTTAATCCCCCCCCAGTTTTTTAATCATATTTTAGTTTAAAATATTAATTAAGAGGGTTTGTGCTGCTTATCAACTCTCATTATTCACTTAAAATTTAAAATATTGTAAGAAACCTACGAGAGAACATTCAGATAATGTTCTTACCTATTTACTCTAATATCAAAACTAACAACACTGAGCACACTATTGAAACTGATGAACTAAAATTTATATATATATACTATTTATAAGAGCCTTTGTTTTAAATTTGCAATCCTTAGCTATAAAAACTGAACATTTTATAATTTATTAATTACAATGATTGATAATTTTCGAGATTTTGATACATTTTGTCAAAATTCGATCTTTAAATGCTTATAAAAAAAATTGTGCCTTTGTATTTTTAATATTTTTCAATTGCTACTGTAACAATATATCAGGAGCCTTGTATTAAATTTTTACACTTTTTGGCCCAAAAAAAAAACTTAATTGATATTTATAGAAAAAAAAACTAAAAAAATTGAAAACTGAAAATGTTCGTAAACAGCTCAAAAAGAGTCGAAATTTTTTCAAAATTGTACAGTGTATAGTAAATGCTAATATGAACACTCAGTGAAATTTTCATGTATCCACAGTAATTCCTACAGTTAAATAATTTTTAATATTTTTCATCTGTCTTTCAAAAAATATAGTAGGAGCCTTGTATTAAATTTTCAAGTATTTTTACTCAACAAATCAATTTTTATTGATATTCATAAAAAAAAAAACTAATAAAATTGGAAACTGAAAATGTCCCTAAACAGTTCAAAATAAATCAAAATATTTTGAAAATGTTATCGTGTATATAAAATGCAAATATAAACAACCACTGAAAATGTCATGTATCTACGGTCATTTGTTTTAAAGTTACACCAAAAACCAAAATCGATTTTCTCGAAAACAGATTTTGGGTAAAAAATACCCGTTTTTCCTTAATTTTTCTTTTGTTTTTCCCGGC